AGAACAGTCAGAAGATGTTAATTGCATATAAACTTACATTTGAATGTCTTTATTTGATTGTGAGTAATCAAGTTGTGGTTTTGTTTAAATGCAGACATTAGGAGAACATGTGTCACCTGACTGATGACGATATTCTTGACAGTGTGGCCAAGCTTCCAGTGGCCAAGCTCATGACCAAGGACTGCAAGGATCTCTGAGTTGTTGCATCCTTGTTTCTTGTTCTGCAATGTTAATTGTAAGAGAACACAAGACAGTCAGGTCACAGGGATCCCTAGTAATGTAAAGAACCATAGTTTTAAAAATAGCAATAGGACATTTTCTGAATACAGTTTATGGCTTTGTAACCTTGGGCTTGGCTTTGGATTCGCTCGATGTATCCTCTCTCTCTGCCTGCTCGGGCTGGGGCTCTCCAGACTTGTTGAGAGGTGAGTAGTCTTCCAGCAGTGTGTCAAACAGCACAATGCGTTTGTTCTTGAAGAACCCATAGAAGTAGGCGTTGCTGTGTGAAGAACGCTTAGAACCTGGAATTATGGAAAACATTCAAGACAATTTAAGACTGCCGTATCCTAAACCAAGCTGTAGAACCATTTAAAAATGATCTCTTCAACTTGACAAAAACATGCAATCTGGATGATGCCTCTTTGTATTACTTTACCTTCAACTACATAAACCTTGGTGAGGGGGAAGCTTATACTCTTGGCCATATCCTCAATGTCTGTCTTCAGCTCTCCTTCTGGCAAAGGTGTGAACTTGTCAAACAGGGGAGCAATGTAGTCAGCATAGATCGTTACGAGTACCTGAGAACAAAGGAGAAGTATTGTGATAAACAACCAGCCAAAGTGTAACTACAGAGTGTTTTTGTGTTATTTTAGAGCTACTCCGTAATTGCCAAACAAACTACACATTCCTTTGAAACACGATTAATCCCTTTTCTAAGAAGTGCATTCTTTGTTTGTTTCAACACAAGGTGAATACAGCACTGACCAGAGAAACAGCCAGGGTGAAGAGCCAGGCGTAGATGAAAAAGTAGTCTCCACCAATCTTGATGATGTACAGGAGCAGGGAGGTGACAGGGAGCAGGATACACTGGGTCACAATGAACTTCTTCACAGCATCCTTAAGGAAGAACCCCAACGTCTGAAAGGATGACAACAACATATGAAAAATCATCCTGGATGATAGAAAAAGTAGTTTTGCCAACAAAAAGCCAAACACCTTTTTTTGCTAATGGAATGTACCTGCTGGTTAAAGCCATGCTTCTCCTCAATGACAAATGTGTTGTACACACTCCAGGGAAGTCCAGTAAAGGCACTGAATAGGGTGGCAAGCGTCAGAAACACAAGCGACTGGGTGATCTCGTACTCTGAACCAAATCCTATGCGAGCCGTCACAGAACCAGCGAGCTCCCACATTAATGGGATTCCACCCAGGAGCAGGATCAACTGAAAAGTTGGGTACATAACGTTAGCCTTTTAAATATAAAATAACATACATATGATAATAAATAATATTGAGTTTAAAATCATGTTAAACTCAATATTCATGGAAAATAATCAATTACACTTTAATATTATATTTTAAATCCGAGTTCTCTCTCTTATTCCATGTACATTTGAAGTGACAAAAGTAAACAGACTTATGACACAGACTTGACACACAGGGCCCACTTCAAGACATCCTTAATAAGACTGATTGTGAAAGTACAGCTTTTTTGCTGAGACGCCTATTGCTTTTAATTTCCTAGTTGTCTTACCGTCCCTTCAGTCTCAGAATAGAGTCCAGACCAGAAGCTGAAGTTGCTTTTATCCAGCTGATAGAGACGCGACTTCTCGAATGTTTCCGAATCCATGATCTTCCCAAGTTCCTGTGGCACATGTGTGGTTGATCTGTATATGCTCCTCTGTGAAAGGGAAAGAGATCAGCACTGATGTTATACACAAGTCAATTTGTATTAGTAGCCCATGCTTCAATTTCAGACGAACATGGGTTTATATCCCTCTAATTCTTGCTATTGAAATATTTCTAAGTGCATTTATTTGTACTTATAAAACTACAATTATCCTGCTCCTCTGTTCTGTCATATACACAAAGTTGTTAACATCCTGTTTTAAGGGGAAGTACACCCAACTCAGCAAAAAGCTCCGAAAATGCCATTTCATTCTGTCTTACCAAACTTGCCAAACAAAAGACGCCAGAAACAGGCATCATAATATTTAGGTATTCATATTTGTTTCTGCGTTTACTGTTTTAGAAATCATACATGTCTGCCAACATCTGTCAACCTCATGCTGACACTCTTCTGAATTATAACCAAACATTTTCTTCAAATACTTTGTAACATAGAAATGTAATCCAGTTGTCATAGTTTCACAAAGGGAAAATACCTAAACGTGTAGTTGAGTAAACATTACTGTTATATAAATTCTGTCAAACCAAACTATTTTTAAATGAACTGGCATTAATCTTGAGTTTGCAAGAATATAAAACAATCACACATTTTTTGTAAGTTAACGTTCACTGCACTATTTGGTTTGGGGTCCTTTCCCCCTCGACAAACACATTTAGCTACAAAGGAGGAACTTTGACTGACAAATTATTAAATTACCTGTCTGTAAGAAAGGTATGCCTCCCAGAGATACACCGTCCACGAAAATCCCAAAACAGCATAAAATATCAGCTTCTCCACCGGGAGGTCAAATATACTTTCAACCATCTTTGCAGTGTTTTAGTTTTGTGTTGTTGGAACAGGACTGGCTAGCTCTCAGGCTAACGCTAATGTTACCGTTTCCTAGCCTGACGGGTAGTTTTAGCTTAGCAGCTACTTAGCTTTCACTACACACAAACACACACAACTATTTGAGGTTAACTAAAGGGAACACGGTTCCCACGTTAAAACGACAAATACCGATTAACTGTGCATCCAGTTTCCATTCCTAAATCAAGGCTTTTACATCTAATATCTTTCCATTCATGCGAGATGTGAGGTGTGGCAACACATTCTATCCCTGTGGAAACAAAGACTACTATACGTTTGGTTCCGCTGCTGTTTTGTTGCAGTTGTGGGGAAAGTTTGTATCTTATTAATGCTGGCCTTTTCAGTAACTCAACTGTGATTATCAAAGAGTTCAGCAATATGTGAAACTACTTTCTAATTCGTCTGTATGTATATGATATTATAATCCATTGTTTACTGCGATAACCCCTGATATTATTTTATTTGTATACAATCCCCTGCATACTGAATCTGTAATGTATTCTGTTCTCAAACTAAAATAATAGACATTATATAAAACATTATTATACTATGAAACTGTTAAGTTAACTCTTTGAACAATATAAATGTAATTATATATTATTACAAGTACATTTATTTATTTTAAATCATCTTCCTGTTTCTCTGAACCCTTATGTGGAGTATGGCTTATTTTGTTCATCAAACAACCTTGCTATGGTCATACATCCATGGATCAGATACCCTTCAAAGATAATGTTTTAAACCTGTAAGGGGAGCTGGAGTCCTCCTCTAGATAAATTGTGCCACACCTCAATTGTGCAGAATACTTGTCATACATGCAAACAGTGAACTTGTGTGCTAAAGTTTATTCAGTGTATGGTGTAAATGGAAAGTAATTCTTATATATTTAAATATATATAAACATGAGATTAATAACCCTGGTTTATCTCAGTCTATCACTTGTTATTACATTAGGCGAAACACCACATTTGAAATAATCTAACCCTAGGATCTAACTTCAGTCATTGCCAAATTATAATGTTCAGGGGACATACATTAGCTACTGGTTTTTCCCACTATCCTCTCTATCATGCCATTTCTGACTGGCTCCTGGGTTTATGTGTGGTAGTTCAAAGTAACACAGTTGTTCAAAAATGTGTAGTCTTAAAATAATGATGGTATTAAAACCTACATCTTCAAAGAGCAACCTCCTGTTGTTTAAGTTGTAAATAAACCCAAACTAAATTAAAGGGGACTTATCATGCAAAATGCACTATTGTACGTCTTTTATACATGAATGTGTCCCCGGTGTTCCAGGGAACTCACCAAGTGTCAGAAAACACAACCCTCTCTATTTTCCTCCATACCCAAATCTCTAAAAAAGGGGCTGCAACGGATCTGATCAAAACTGATCCAGACTTGAACACTTTACTGACGTCAGTAGACGGCAGAGTTTCAGTTTCAGTTTCTTTCGCCGGTCAAGATGTCCGTTAAAGTTTAAATCTTCCGGACAGAATTAGAAAAGTGCCGGTCAAAGGTCTTCTTTGTTATTTATTGAGCTTTAAAACAAATGAATAACGACTCTATAGGCCTATAATAATATAATAAAACACGGACGACGGAGATCTTTTTTTCTCCCCCTCTTGACTTGATCAGAGCATGGCTCCCCTCTCCTTCAGGGGGGCGTGGTCAGCTGCAGCTCACAGAATCAGCTCCGTAGACAGCAAACAGCACATAGAGCGAAATGAGGCAGGGGCTAAAATGCATGATCTGTTTGGTATTTTGAAAACAGAAACGTATAAATATACCTTATATAGGTATGGCCCTACAATATATCATTTAAATATAGCATGATAGGTGTCCTTTAAAGTTAATATTTTTTGCACAAACTAACTGTTACAGTTTATGGGGTCCAGGACTTTAGGTTGACACTAGCTTTGTCCAGTAAATCATCCAGTAAACATTTTTGGATAAAATCCTGAAGTTTCCAATAGTGATATAAAATGAAAAATACTTCACTAATAAAAGTAATTGTTACTTCAAAAGGATGTTTTCATAGCTATAAGAGAACAGAGACACTTTTGGTAATAGTACCTCATCGTGTACCATTACACTAAACACTATATTCCAGGCAGTGGAAATACATAGAACACAAGAGATGATTTTAAATTAATTAGTTGTTTTTCAGGTTTGCAAACAGCAGCTATGATGCCCTTTCTCGTGACTTTGTATATATAAAAAAGAGTCACTTACACAATTCTGAAAGTTAAGGGCTTTATATTTGTTTCCACATTTATTTCTTTAAAAAGTGTTACATACATACATACATACATACATGTCTGCCAACATCTGTACACTGCATCCCAACACTTATTTATTATAAACTGAGGTGAAAATAACCAAACATATTCCTCAAAATCTTTGTAGTAAGGAATTGTTTTCTTTCAGTCACAAGTTCACACAACTGAGAAGGTCTTGCAATACACTACTGACCATTTCTAACAATCTGAACATCTGTACATGTATCCTGGAGGACCACAGTATATACATTTGTGATGTCTAAAAAGAATATGCACTATTTACACTTGTTTTTCATTGCAATGCTAATTCACTTTTATATGATTCTTCAGTTTGGCAAATAAAAAAACAAACAGCAAAAACTTAATACTATATTTGAGAGAAAAACTAAATACTGATCAACTTGTGAAAGTACAAAATAATTTTCCATAGCTATGTTAAAAAGGTGCTCAGTTGAACTTACTTCCGAGGAGCAGTTCGCAATTGTTGGTGTCTGATGGGAAGATGTCCGGCAGGGTGGTGCTGCACACCGGCCTCCCCAGCACCACCACAGGTCTCAGATACTGGAGCTGCTTAATAGCCAGGTCCCCACACCCCGCCAAGGCTTTGTCCAAGATGGACTTCAAGTTTTGGACAGATGTAAAGTCTCGAGTCATAGCGTGGGGCTTCAGCAGTGGGGATTGAGTGCGTCTACGGTTGCGAGAGATTCTCAGCTGGTTGTTCTCTTTTACTGAACAACCACGTCTGAAAGAGTCTCGCCGTTTCGCTGCCGGCGCATTTTTGTCTTTCGGCGTCGTGTCTTGTATGAACCTCAGGAAGGAAGACTCAAAGCCTATAGGCTTATAAGTTGTGATGTCAAATGGGAGAGGAGAGGGGCTACAAGGTTGAGTCTCTTTCAAGTTTAAGGGTGGTTCAGACAATTCATTTTTTCGTTTTAGTGGCTGGCGAACAGGAGGGGTGGGCAACGGAGCCAGTTTACCCCCATCCTTGCTGCCTGACGAGTCTTGAAGGCCGTCCACAGCAGTTATGCACAGTGAGCAGGGTGGCGAGAGGTCAACAGTGAGGGATCGAAGAAGAGGTTTGATTTGATCCAAGCTTAATCTCTCTTCCTGCTTCTGGCTGTTCTGTGCTGCTGCTGCTGCTGCAGCAGCAGCAGCAGCAGCAGCAGCAGCAGCAGCAGCAGAGCCTTCAGTGTGACCTCCGGTGCTCGGCTCACCATAAAGCACCTCATCTGCACCAACAAGGACACCATTTCTCTCAACAGGTGGCGGCTCCTCCTCTTCCTCCTCTGGGAATCCCATTGGGTTGTCATTATCCTCCTCCTGTGTGTCTGCCTTGATGGAGTGTAAGCTCATGGGCGCAGGCTGCCCCCCTGTGTTTTCTGGCTCTGCCTGATACTCCATTTTGCGAACCCCATTAGGGGAACATGCTCCTGTAACAGTTGTCCTGGCTGACTTCCTCTGAATCAGTTCCTCCAGCTGCTCAGCATTATTAACCAGCTTATCTCTATGTTTACAGATATCATCCCGACGCATGCTGTGAGTCCTCAGGTAGTGACGCTGCAAGCTCTTCAAGTACTTGACGACAGAATCACAGTCCTGCATCATGCATGGGTAGGCCTCGCGCAAACCACGGTCTTGGCACATCTGTAACGCTTCTTCGTGAGATCTGAAGACATAACGGCTGAAACAATACCTCGGTTGCCTTTTTTCTCTGTTTTTCACGTCATCAACAGCTTCCTCACCCGTTTCCTGTGACTGGGTGGTCCCATCAGGCTCTGAACTGGATCCCTCAGCCTGTGCGGCAGTTGATCCAGATTCTTCTTTCTGAGGACTCTGTGGTGCAACAATTAGCTTTTTTTGGCATCCAGTAATTGACTTTTTGTGAGTGCTCTGCAGACGTACCACCAGTGAATCATAGTACTCGCAGTGACTATAAAGCGCATGTTTTTTAAGTGCATCATTATGGCTGAACACTTTTGTACAGCCTTCAAACTTGCACCTTATCGGCTCTGAAGGTTGTGAGTGAGAATCCCGAGTGTGACGCACTAGGCTGCTTTTAAGGTGGTAGGAAGATTGACAGTTGGCAAAGTGACACTTGTATTGGGGCTGAGGTTCATCTAAGTTTGGAAGAGGCCTTTTCTTGGTGGGCTCTTTTCTGGCTTCTGGTCTGTGATGCGTCTCAAAATCTTTTTCCAAAAGGAGTTGAGAGCGATTGTAATGATGTATCAACTGTAGGTGGCGCACGAGGCCCGCCTGGGTGGAAAAAGCGGCATCACAATGTTTTGCTACACAATGAAAGGGTTTACTGAATTTATCCAGTATATAGCAGAGATTACTTTTGGTTACCAATCGTCTTGTAGTCCTGACCTGTTGTGTTGTCCTGTCCCCTCTTTCTCCCTTCTGTGCTTTGTCTTCCTCTTTACTCTCAGCTTTACCCTCAGCTTTACCCTCTCCTCCATCTTCAGATGGTGAGGGATTGTCAATGTTTAGTTTATTTTCGCTTACCACCGTTGAGTTTTGTTTCTCTGGTTGGCGTTGCAGCTTGGGGATCTCTTTTTTCCATACGCTAAGACCATGCTTCTTCAGGTTGAGAGATGCACGCATTGAAGTGTTTTTTTTCCCCTCGTGCTGTATACAGCTTATTTTGTTGACCAAAGTGGGATTCAGGTTATGTATCTGAATATAGTGGGCCCTCATGTCACGTTTTTCTCTGTGACTTTTGGAGCAAAGCTGGCAGATGTAAGGTTTAAACGATGTTGTTTTCAGAGAAGTCAACCTTCTTGCCTGTTCAACAGAGCGGCCATGTAAGTTGTTATAGTGTCGCTGTAAGCTGTAACTCTGAGCGGTCCTGAAGTCACAACCTTTCATCTCACAGACGTAGGGCTTAGCACTGGCCAATGATTCGGCGTCACCTTCAGCGTCACCTTCACCTTCGGCATCACCTTCTTCATCATCATCTGATACTTTTTCAGTTTTGACTTCTACCTTTTCATCTGGCACTTGAAGGGCCCTCTTCCGAAGCAGCACAACAGGAGGCTTTGCCATGATGGCCTGATGGAGAGATGTGTTGGATTCTTTTGACTCTGGGTTGGACTCAGGGGGCTCAATTGGCACACTGTGAGGAGATAATGAATTCAGGTCCAGTTTACTGAGCCCAATAAGGACTTCACTCAGATCATCAGTTTTAGTTTGAAAGCTTGGAGAGTTTGTTTCGTTGATTTGGGGTTCAGCATCTTCTTTTCTTTCTTCGTCTGCCTTCTTGGGTTGAAATGGAGTTAAGAGCTCCCCTTTTCCCTCTTCCTCACAGTCAGGCTCAGTTTCAGTCTTCATCCCTTTGGACTTTGAGCCCCTGTCTTTGTCATGTTTGTGTTCTTTGTTCTCCAGTTTGAGGTGTTCTGGGTGGGCACACTTAAGATGCCTCTGGACATCTCTGGCTCTGGAGAAAGTCATGCCACATTTCTCAAAACCACAAGTAAACTTACTTCCATCAAAACACACAGCCACCAGGGTCATTGTTGTTTTGGGCTCCTTACCATCAGGTGATTGCAAAGAGGAGGCACAACTTGTTGAGGAAGAGTTTAGGACATCTCCATTTTCAGTCTCTGCTGCATCACTTGACTTATTAAGGCGGTTTGACGCTTCAGTAGTAAGCGTCTTAAGAAGTTTCCGCCTCGCCTTCCTCTGGGCCTCAAAGTCTTTTTCAGAGAAGGTGATGTTGTGTGTGGATAAATGGTTTATGAATTCTTTTTTGGATAGATAGTATTTACTACATTCAGCGCTTGGGCATGTAAAGGCTGCATCTCTGAAATGCTGTGCTTCATGGTGGTAGATTTGTCCCAAGTCGGAGCAGATGACGTAGCAGCCTTTGAGCTCACACTGGTAGTTGAGGTGGAAGCCGTGGGTCTGTTTGTGCGTGACAAGCTCGATGGAAGTCCTAAATTTAGCGCCACAACCCATAACCACACACATGTAAGGCCGATCTCCATAGTGGACTCTTCGATGTTTGCGGTGATGGTGTGCGGAGGATAAATGGCGTCTGCAAAAAACACACTTCTCACGCTTGTCTCTCATCTGCTGAAAATGTTTTACATTGTCATCACCTCTGTGCTCTGACTTTAAATGAACATACAAGTACTTGGAATGTTTAAAAATCCGAGTGCAGCCGGTTCCTGGACATGGATACTCGTCCCGATTCTGCAGGTTGAAGTGTTGGTCAATGTACTCAAACGTTACATACTCGTCATCATCTAAATTCTTCTCTTTCACCGTTTTGGCTTGTTGCACGATGTGTTGCAGCACCTCTGGATCATGTGTGGATTTGTAGTACTGCATTAGGGAAGGGTCAACAGTGATCTCCCCTGGTTCAATAATATCATCCTCTTCATCCACCCGTTTCTGCTCATCTTCTTTCTTTATGTTGAGATTAGTTTTACTCTGCATGTGTTGTTTTAGATGAGGAACAAGAACCTTTCTGCTCTTAAACTTTTCCAAGCACACGGGGCAGGGGTGTTTGTTGCCCTCTCCGTGCCTCTTGGAGTGGTGAATGATTTGGGTGTCACTGACCGACCTCTTACAAATCTTACAACAGAACTTGTGTTTCTTTGACTCCGATTCTCCTTCAATTTCTGGTGAGTTAGAAACCTGCTTGTTATCCTTCTGCTCATTATCACCATCAACACTTCCATTGATCATCTTTTGATGCTCAGATTCTACTTTCACTGCGACTCCCTGAGGCTCAGGTTGTGTACTTTTCTCTCGATTGTCTGTTGCCTCCTCCTCTTCCCCCTCTGACTCCGGCCTCAACCCCAGAAGGGAGACGCAGTGATATTTCAGAGTTTTCCAGTCCCAGAATTCAGGGTCAAACGGCCAGTATGCCTTCAGAGCTAATAGCAACTCGCAGCGTAGTGAGTTGGGAATTACCTCGCTTTCCTGGTCATTTTTTTGGTCGGGGCGCAAGTAAAGCTCCTTCAAGGACCCAAAGACCTCCGGGCTTGGGCAAAGAATGAATTCTGTGAGAAGGCAGGCACGCAACACTTCAAGGTCTCCTGGAAGAAGGCAGGACACGCTCTTACAGACAGAGATCCTGGTTTCTGAGTCATCTTGCTTTGGAAGTTGAAGTGCTTTGACACAAAGTTCTACTGAGGCAGGTATCCCCATTTCCTGCGTCTGAAAATAAGAGTGATATATTATTATCCTTATTTCACAATCTTTTCAAATAAAACCGCATACTGTTTTACATGCATTACATTCTGACACTAAAATGTCATTGAAATTAAAATTGCTATTTTAAGTAATACATAAATAGTGGGATGACATTTTTGTTAAGTTTACTGCAGTTTCCACCTCCTGACTACTCTTTTGAAGGCTGGATGTTTTAAGACCTCTCTTTAACTCGTTGTCTATTTTATAAAACATCTGAGAGTCTATTGGGGTTTACTCATGTGTGAAAATGTCCAACAGGATATTTTTACAACCAAATGGACCAGCTAAAACCCAGCATAGAAATGGAAAGCAGCCTATTGGGCTCACCTCTGTCTGAATGATACGGACGAGGCAAAGCAAATGCAGGACCGTTTTGGCAATGGCACCTAGCTGAAGGCATCTTTCCAGAAGGGACATCAACGAGGGGTCGATCCTCCTCTGAAGCCTACTCCACAACAGAGTCAACTCCCTTTGGATAAAAAACCCACAAGAAATCTAAGTTATATTTCTTTTTCTCAAAGATATTCAAATTTGACAAACTGTGATGTCCACAACAATAAAGAGAAACAACTCATCTTATCAGGGAGTCAAAATGTACAATACATGCAGTCAACCCAACATCTTGGCTCCTAACAGGAAGCACTCACCAGGAACAGTACAGGCTCTGCTGCTGAAGCTGCTGTGTCAGGAAAGTTGTGCACAAGATGAAGGCGTGGTTCTCCTCCCCCTCAGACTCCAAAGTACATGTGATCTCCAATACGTCCTTACAGTCAAGTCTTGATATCTGTTCAGGGAGTAAATACAATGCTGATTGCTTAGAAAACAACATGATAGACAAATCATCCTCCAGGCACTATTTCAAATCTGTTAAATCCAGTGTAATACCGGTAATATTTTATTTATCCATACTCCGTAAGAAATTATTCAGAAGTTACCATGCCCTTAAGGGATATGTAAAGATGATGTCGTAATGATTCGTTTGCATTCCAAGTAAGGAAATGTTAGAATATTGTGCTGACCTACATTCCAATGTGTCATCCTTCAACAGCATGACAAGTTAATAGCTGGATGTACAAGGTTTCAACTGACTGCATACCAGTAAAAGGTGGGGGAGTTGATAGCACAACAGATGTAGGACAAAGGGTTAAATAAACTGGTCTGCGAGTACGAAGACAAGAAGATGCCACAGCTATTATGTGCCTAAAGCTAAAAGGCCCTCTAAAGCCTTTCAAACAGGTTTTCTGAGTCTTCAAACTGACTAGCAGAGACTCAATTTGCATGTGAATTTAGGGCTCTATTTTTGGAGCTGGTACCCGCTATAAATAGACATATTTTTAATATTTAAAACTATAAAAATGTTTGAATATGTCCACATTTCTATTCATCGTTGAATAAATAAAAATGTTATAATATCAGGAGGGAGAAATGTGTTATTCCTGTGTGTGACTGACTGCTCAGCGTAGGTGACGCTTCATCTGGAGTCAAACTGAGATCTCAGACCACCTGCTGTGAGCCCTGAACACATCCTGCCAAAACCAGATGTCTCCTCTTACAGCAACAGCAAGTTGAGCACAGGCTGAGCATTTCAATCATTTCGTTATCACTATTATTTAGACCTCTGCTCTCAAGCTAACTAGTTTCCTGCATTCTTCTTCCCATCGCAACTTGTAGGTTTTACACCTAACTCACCTATCAATGACTGTGTTAAATTAGGGTCATAGCGCTGTAATACCTCCATGATGGCCTCTTCATTGGGCAGCAGGTGACAGAGCAGGAAGACAAAGGTTTGACGGAAGGTAGCTTGGTTGGAGATGAAGCTGCATTCAGTGCAGGCTTTGGCCAGCACCACGGCTTTAGCCACTTCGCCCATCTTCTCCAGGTGCTTCACGCGCATCTCCATGAAGCCCTCGCCCTCCAAGCTGATGTATGCATTAACTAGTGACAGGATGCAAAGAAGATCTGATTAGAAAACTACCTCGACAGGGTCAACCTGACGATAAGTACTTTCATGTCTAAAGGAAATAGCATAGTTGAGTTAACTAGATCCGTACCTTCTTCTGGGTTTGTGGTCTGGCCGGTGAGGAGAGAGGTGAGGACAGCGTTGCTCCACGCGCCTCCCTCTCCTGTGATCTGGAGTAAAGCTTGGAGGTCTGTGCTTCCATACTGTAGCAAGGTATCATGGGCAATCTGCAATGAAGATGCAAAAACATTATATTTTAAATGTTTTTTTTAAAACCACCATTTGTTCTGTTCGTTCTTGAGAACACCTACACAGAAGGTTATTGTAATATAATGATGTGAAATATGGACTTTTGCTAAGGAAAGGCCACTCATTCACTTTTACTACATAACATAACTTAATTTTTAGGCCAAATATATTTATTCTAAAAAAACTAAATATTTTTTGAACCCCACTTTTCAGGTCTGGAAATAAAACTTGAACACAGCTCAGCTGCCCAGTTTTTAAATTGCTTTCCCTCTGTTGTCAACTCTGCAGACAAGTGTTAATTTTTCTAATTAGAAAGAACATCAAACAACATCATTCTTGTGATTAATCTAGGAAATATTATGCACTGTGCTGTATTTGTTACAGCCACTTAGCTGGGAACGATCCAACAGCAACAGCAAAGAAAATATCTACTTAATGAACATAAATTAATTAGTTTTACTGTACGTTTGTGTGGTAATGAGTTTCCATTACTCATTGTTGTATATCAGTATAGTTTTTCCTTCAGCAAGCATTTATCACAAATGACTGTCAGCCAATATATGAGTTAGGGGTTATAAAACACTGTGGATTTAGTCTCAACAAGGTCAATCAGAAATAAAACACTCCTATCTACAACAGCTGGGGACATCAGGCTTCACTAGCCTATCAGAAGGCTTCTGATAACGCCTGCTAAGGCATGAGCAAACAGAACGGCATTTTTCTTTAGACCATTTTATTTTTATCAAGGATTTAAGTCTGCAGCACATCAGCAAACAATTTTTCAAAACAACTTTCTCTACCTGAACAGAGTGGTGGAATTGAACCCAGGCTTCATACGGGATTTCATTCTCAGGCACTGACAGCAATAGTTCAAAACAGCTCCTGCAAGAAATAATAACAATTTGAGAATGATTTCGCAGGAATGAAGTCTGGTCATACTATTTTCAAATACAGTCTGTCATAATACAAACATCAAGAAAAAGCTTTCTTCATATCCATACAGTAAACATGTCAAAAAGGATCATTTGAAAATGGAATGAACAGTGCTGACATGTTTTTGAGGTGGCATCACATACACAAGGTTATTACAAGGTTACCAATATAAGATCCTTCATGCAAGACTTTGAATTGAGCTCAAAGCAATGAAACAACCTCTATCTCTAATGCAAGAAATGTTGCCAATCAAAGTAGCCTCTTAGTAGCAAAATAGGCTTGAAAAGGCATATCCTCTTTAAAAGATTGCACAATTACAATATTTGTCATCATCAGAAACTGTAAAAACAGAAATTTGTGCCAGATTCTCAAATTGTATGAGATTTATTCTTCAGTCTGGAAAGATTACCAAAACCTATCTAAAATAGTGACATTTAATCAAAATCTGTTTATTCTACAAGTTTCATTTAGGTTTAAATTCTGTAAAATGCAGACAGAGTAGAGGAAAAGATATTAGTTGAAGCCACCATTTTTGAAGAATCACTCCTTTGTGATTGTACTGTAACGGTGCAATATTTATGTACTATGAAAAATGATGCCACAGTGGGTAAAATGTGACCGGAGCAAAATACGCCTTGGACCTTTTTCAATACTCACAAAGCAAGTCTCTTCAAAACAAGGGCCACTCTGTCGGAGTCTGCAGTGAGGTGGGATCGGGCCGCAGCGAAACAGCTAATGGACAGACAGTAGACCTCCAGAAGAGGCAGACCATGCTCCATAGAGTTCCTGCTCCCAGCATAGTGCATGAGTGCCTATAAACAAACACAAAAACATCATAAAGTGTCAAAAATGGAGATAAACAGAGAACTAAAATACTTTCAAAAACAGTGATAAAAAGACATCATAGAGGAGACATTTGTCTGATAAACAGTGGGTTTCCACCTGGGGGAGATACCAGTTGATCCCAGCTGACATTGTCTGATGTGTGAGACACTTCTGATTAGGCCTGATGGGATTTCACTGTACAGAATATGGCAAACCTGAACCCTTAGTGAGCCGACATGCTAAAAAACAACAACTTACAGATGGAGGGGGACATGTTAATGACCATATTTTTCAAGCTTTTACTTATAACATTTTACAGTTACCTAGATGTGTTTTGTAATGAATGCAATAGTTATATCCTTCCTTCGGTCAACACAACTGTATTATATGGATATGAAAACAATTAAAATGCAGTTAACAAGAAGTGATACCGTACAACATCTTTTTATGTTCTCTTATTGACTCTTTACCAGAGGGCACATTATTGTTTGTAGTCAATATTGTCTTAACTGTCAACTGTCCTCAGGCACAAAGGAGTCAACATCCGTGTGTGTAAACCAGTGTCACTTATATGTTCACACATTAAATCATCATCACTATCAAGATCCCAGGAGTCCCATTTGCCAGACAGTAGGACCCTAGCTGGTTGCTGCTTGTGTCCACAGAGAGGCACTAAATTAATTCCCATCAGTCTAAATATATAGTGCCATCTCAAAGGAAGCCACACATAAGGGCTCAATCCTGGAGACCCTTAGCAGTGTAGTAATTACACCCAGACTACTTCCGACTTCAGCAGAAAATAAATACACAATAAACACAAACTTTTTGTTTGAAATCAACCCAAAAAACATTGCATTTACAAAGTGTGAAAACTTAAAGGCTCAGGGAATTACCAAACAGTTATTCAACATGAGAACATATGCCATCTTTTGATATAAGGAAATATCATCAGACCAAAAGAGACTTGACACAAATCCTTTTGCTATCTTCAAATGTTGTCAACTTTTCTGTTTAATTTTCCTAGTTTGTGTTAGTATCTTTCCAATGCAGTTCAGCAAAAACACACTTTAAGAGACTTGAACTGTTTAATGTGATATATCACTGTGTTATTGTGGTTGTTTACCTAAAGGCTGTCTGTGTTTTATGTTGTTGTTTTTCTGGTGGACAGTAATGATAATTATTGTATATGCTACTGTATATGATATTATATTCTAACCATTTTCACCAAGCAGTGAAAATAAAATACATTTTTCAGGTATTAGGTTCCCTTACTGGCAAAGTTGAAACATTTTTACCAAATACAATTAATAACATTTGTTTTTGCAATTGTACTTACAAGTCTATGAGTTTGGGAATAAGGGTAATTTAAATAAGAGTGCATTGTAAATAAAATAAAAAATATAACATGGTAGTGGCAAATCCTCAACCTTGCCAGCCCATTATCAATCTTTACAAAGACTAACGTTATGTAAATGCAGTTTTGGATTCTTACAACTTCTCAGAATGATAAAAATGCAATTTCCCAGTGGCTTAACGCTGCAACTAGCAAGAAAATGTGGATAAACATAACGCGATGCCGCCCCGCCCCAAACAATAAATGTTGTGCAAATGTCCAGTGCATTATGTTAGATCCTTGCCAGTATGTTTTGACTAAGACGAGAACATCAGTCAGCTTACTGTAACAACTTGAGCCAACACACAGTAAATCACTCATCTGCCAACAGCCTACATCCCAAGGCCAATACTATTAGGTCCAATGTTTAAGCGTGCATATGCATGTGTTAATATAAATACAAATACAGAGTGTGCAATAGCTCCCTTGTTATGGACCAGCCCTAAACTTGAGCAGGTAGCTAGCGGGCCAGCAGCTGTGGTACGTTAGCTGTAGCCTGCAGGAAACGAGAAAAACAACCCAGGGCGAGCTAACGTGAAGCTAACGCTGGCATCAATGTTTGCATGTACACATTACCTGACAGAAGTTGTCGCAGTACTCCGTGGAAGATGCTATGGATAGATCTTGTTGCCTGAGCACGTCTTCAAAGGCTCTAAGTGTAGCCAGCAGGGTTTCCATTGCAACCAGGGTGTCGTCGGCCCGGACCATCCAGTCCTGCTCCGGCTCCACACTCTCCGCCATCTTCGCTCCTCTACACCGCGCGTATGCAGTGCAGTCTGACGCTGCCTTCACGGGCTGTCGGAATATTTTATGTGTGGTGAACTTCACCTGCAGGACCCGAAAACATCATGGGAGAGGGGGGCGACTGCTGGAAATGTGACGTCAGGTTTATTGGTATGATTATTTGTTGGTTGTTGTTATTTCCTGGAATGTTAAAGAACCTTTTTATTTTCATTTCAGCAAACCTTGGTGCGTTAATCAGTGTGAACACCAAGCAAACTAACCATTTATGTTAACATAATTACAGGCGTTGTATTTTTCCTATCAGGATGTTTTATGTTGATGTGCATAACAACTCTATAAGTGTAGCCTATGGTGTTTTATTTTAATGTCAGATAAGTGATAATAAATAAATGTTTTTTTCTTGATTATCTTTTGCTCTATAAAATCTCTGAAATGTCCATCCCAGTTTTCTAAGAATACAATGACATGATTTTAAATCAGTTGTTTTGTCAGTCAAAAACCAAAAGATATTGACTTAAATAATATATAAAACAGAGGAAAGCACAATCTATCAGCATAAATACGTGTATAATCAACAAGAAGACATAATGTTCATATATCAAATTCCAAAAGATCATCAAAGTGTAGCCTTCTGAATACCCTGTGGCCGTGGGAACTACGTATCTTTAAAAAGTCAACTTCTAGTGAGATTCTGAGCAAACAGCATTTTTTCAGATTCGGGAAGAAAATGCCTTTTGCAGATAGGGTTAACCTAACCATAACCCTTTCAAAATATATCATGTAGTAAGAAAGAGGAGAATTTTCTCTGAAAAAAATGAACACTTCATGCTTCTCTCTCTCTAGGTCGTCCTCAGACGAGCCCTCCATCATCGCTTCCAGTCATCCCGGTTCTCCATACATCTGGCCAGTTCATTGGTACTTTGTGCTCCTGCGTCATTCTTGAGTACGTCCACGTATGTTGGTGTGGGACGTCCTCGTGACCGATGGCCGTGTGTTGGTTCCCACAGCACCAATTTGCTGGCTGGCAGCTCTTGATGCCTTTGGCAATGTCCTGCTAGTCTCATTCTCCTGGCTGCAATTTTCTCGCTCACCCTTGGTATTCCCTCGTACAGGATCTTGTTGGTTACATGTACACTCCTGCTGATGTTCCGGTAAGATGTTATAGGTGATAACCTCAGTTTTCTTGGTATTTAGCCTAAGGCCAACCTTGGCACACTCTAACTCCACTCTGTTCAGGAGTTCCTGTGCTTGTTCCACGCTGTCGGAGAGCAGGCTGATGTCGTCCGCATAGTCCAGGTCTGTCAGGACAACTGTGGGGTATCGTCTCGACCTCCTTGGTGTTAGAGTGAAGCCAAGATTCTGCTCTCGTCCACTGATGGCCTTCCTGAGCGCATAACCCAGTACTATGATGAAGAGGTGTCCCCTTGCATTACCCCAGCCAGGATGTCAAACTCCTCGCTGTTGCCATCTGGGGTCACCACCTTGGCCCTTGTTCCTGCGTACATGGTCTCTATTGCCCGGAGTAGGTTGGGAGGGACACCGTATGCCTCAAGGATCTTCACCATTGTGCTTCTGTGGATCGAGTCAAATGCCTTTTTGAAGTCGATAAAGCACAGTACCGCAGTCAGGTTATCCTTTTTCACCTCCTCGATCATTCTCCTTAGTGCCAAGATCTGGGCTACGGTGGTTCTCCCCTCTCGAAAGCCATTCTGGTTCTCCCTCAGGTGAGGGTCGATGGCATGCCGTATCCTGTTCAGTATCATCCGGTTGTAAACCTTTGCGGTGATACCTTTATATATACAGTCTATGGATGATACATGTCAGGCTGATGCCTCGGTAGTTGTCTGGCTTTGAGAGGTCTCCAGCTTTAGGCACCGGGATGATGTCATGCTTCAGCAGTGGCTCAGTCAGTAGGGGCTTGGACTGGGAGCCGTAGGGTCGCTGGTCCAAGTCCCCGACCAGACCTAAATATGGAGTGTGGACTTCTACTTGGAGAGGTCCCAGTTCACCTCCTGCCCTGCCGTGGTGCCCTTGAGCAAGGCACCGGACACCCCCCTTCCCCCCACACTCCCATTGCTCCCCGGGCGCTGTACAATAGCTGCCCACTGCTCCTAGTACTAGACTCCTGGTACTAGGATGGGTTAAAAGCAGAGGCCAAATTTCACTGTGTGTGCTGTGTGCTCTGCATGTGTGACCATTAAAGAGGGTTTCATCCCTCCCAATTCTATTCTATTCTATTCTATCACAAACATTGAAAATCATGGACAGGAAGTGGATGAAAAACTGCTGCTGTTGCTCTGGCAGTAATAACAGTTGCATATATTATTTTAGAAAAATGCACATGTGAACAGACAAAAACTCCATCCAAAGTCTCTACAACTTTCAATGCTTCGTGACAGCATTGCAGTATTTTTTTCTGTTTATTAGCATAAGTAAAAAAAACAATTGATCCAAATGTGAACAGTTTTTAATGTACATTTTACTTTTATTTTTTATTAATATGAACTATCCGTAGTTTCATTATTGTAGCGTTATATAGTATTACTTTGGTTTTATTTTTTAAAATCAATGTTTTCCAAATACTGGTGTTTGTCGCCCTCTACAGGTTAGTGGGAGTTTCTTTTGTGGCTTTTCTTGACCCGGAAGTAAATACATTCCTTTCGGTCACACGTGTAAACGGTAAGCACAGCTAAGAAACATAATGCGACGATTTGTTGATCTAATACCATACATTGCTGTTCGTTGAGCTGAATGTTTCTAATGGACATACATGTTACTCCACAGGATCTGATTTGGTCGAGTGAAATAGCTAGTTTGTGAGCTTCGATGGCTGATAACTGTATATTCTGTATTCTGCTCACCAGGATCAACCATGGGAAAGTCCAAACAAACGGGAAACCACAAAAGTGACGCGAAGAAGCACATTGCAAAGACATGGAAGACAAAGCGCAGGACCAAAGACATGGACGAGATCCACTCGGACATGAAGACTGAGGCAGCAGCCAAGCTGCTCAACCAGGAGGTGGACGTCGACGTGACGGGGTGTGCACAACACTACTGTTTACACTGCGCGTAAGTTCACCCCTGTTGATTTCCAATGTTCATAAGGCTTACCATTTGTTATTTGCTATTCAAACAATTGCACTAATTCTTATCTATGACGGATATGTCCTTTTTGTGACCATTTTAAACGTTTGTTTACCAATTGAAGATGAGCTGAATTGGCTAATGGTGGAATCATATGGTATTATCAGTGCAAAGGTACTCTTAAAAATAAATGAACATATCAAATCATCAAAATAGAAATATACTTAAATTACCATGAGTAATAGTACTCATTATGCAGATTGGCAAATTCAGAATAAAATGGGATTGTTGTGCAATAATATGTAAGCCATTCTAATGTTAATGTTGAAATAGGTAGATTAATGCGTAATAATACATCATTATTTATTCTACATTGTTCATTAATGACTGGAACATTTCAAAAATAAGTATCTAAAGCTGTCAAATGTATTGCAATATTTCCCACAGAAATATACTGCTGTAAAAGTACAAAAGTAGCATTTATATGTGAATACTCAAGTTAATGGCAAGCAACCCAAAATGTTGACTAAGTACAGTAAATGTACTATGTTAAATTCCACATCCTGTGTTATAAGAAGCAGCACAGATATCTAAGGCACGCTGATACTGACAGAATGTTAAGCAGGTCCTAAGAGTCTCAGCTTACTGGATGACCACCTTTAACTCTGGAGCTTCTAATTTTGGACCTTCACGTGTTTGTCTGTGATAGTTTCTATTGTGACTGGTTACAATGTGACTGGTTACAATGGTTTGTATTGGTTTTATATCGATTTGATTTGTTTTGCTATGAAAGTCTCTTACAAAAGAGATCTTAGACAAGGTAATAATAACATGGTATTATGCAGTTAGCCTTTAACACTGTGTTCCTTCATGTCTTCCAGGAGATATTTTGTGGACATGAGATCAATGAAAGAGCACTTCAAAACCAAAGTGCACAAAAGACGGTAAGGCACCATATCTTAACAGTATATTTTCACATTTACCTACTTTATTTCCCCTGCAACTGTGACGCGGCCAAGTATCTCTGTGATTTTCAGAGCTTACCTCTTCTTCTTTTTCCTTTCAGGTTGAAAAAGCTCAGAGAGGAGCCCTACACCCAGGCAGAGGCAGAGAGAGCGGCAGGTATGGGCTCATACATCCCCGCAAAAACAGTTGAAGTGAAGACACAGACTGTGGAAGAGGACATGGACTGAGCCACCCACTTTAAGCCATGGACTGATCACCCCAATAACCGAAGCATTTACAAAAGGGATAATGCTTCGGTTATTCCTTGTTGACCCACACATTTTGAGTGCAATGTTAAATGCTTTTTTTGTGACACACTTCAACAGAATCAGAAAAGCCTTTACCTTTAATACTAGGTAATGTAATACAACATGTACCTATGCAAATATTGAGTATGTTTAGCACTGTGTGGAATGCTAATAAACATGAGGTAGATGGAGATTGCAGATTGCTTTCATATGAGACCACGCACTGTGGTTATTGCAGTATTTCCTGAATCCTGAGGGTTACCAACCCACAAAAATTCCCAGGACAAGATGTTTAAAATAATTTTGGTGGAGGGATTTTCATTTCCTTTCGACATCAGTATTTATTTGGAAGAAACTACATGTTGACAAGGATTAAGAGGTTTTGAACTAGCCTATTTTAAATTAAATAATCTAGGAAGGATTTCACACTCTTTGGTTGAACGCACACAACTCCTATCTACACGATGATCATATGTTCAAAGAGAGATCACACTTGAGTTCTAGAAGTAAGGCTTGTGGTCATGTCTTGGTATGTGCAACATCAAATGAATGGAAATCTTGCTTTAGTTATTACTCTTGTAATGGTATAACACATAGCAGATAATGCCAGCAATCTCTCTCAAGCTGGGTATCTTTACTGTATAGCAGCCCCTTTTATTTCTGCCAACATTTCTTCTATGCAGAATGAAAACCACATTGTTGACATCTTGGTATTCCAAAGGTTAGTCCAGCAAAAACAAAGCCTTCCACTGGTACACACAAAGCTTCAAAACATACTAATAACAGTGTGCTTTGGCAAAGAAGTGTATAATTGAAGCGTTTCAGCAGACATTCCTGGGACGAGCAAGGCAACACTGCCACTTTAAATGTTGCTACTGTGCCAACACCTAACTTTAGTAAAGTGAGTTTATATATATACAGTCTATGGAGAAAACGTAAGCTTAAACTTCCGGTCGTCAGTTTCAAAATAAAGCACTAAATGGTCAAATTGAGAAAAAGGTTATTTTTTACACATACTGAAGGAGATTGCATCTATCCTTCGTCTGTGTAACGTTAAGGATTATGCCCAGGCCGAAACCAACTTTTTACATCAGTTGTATTATTTCCAATGTCACGACAAAGAAGATTACGGCAATAATAAAAGCAGGAAGAAAACGATGTATTCATCTTCAAAGACAAAAAAACCACAAGATAAATCACAATATACATTTCAATAAACAAGCAAGTACTGGTTGATATTGATAACGGGTAAGATAACTGCCGAGTACACACGACTAGCTAGCTACGAATGCTTTTATTTTGAACCCAGACAGGCCAAACATCCGGTTTCCTCTTGGCTGTCATTTGCTCCCTTGACGCATTTGAACCACATCCATATGGCTGTGGTTCAGATGTGGGAAATAAGAAATCTGTGCTGCTAGCTAACGCTCCACAGCTGTTATGGGATTGTAACGGCCGGAAAAGACGAGTGGTCTCCGGCTACAGGATAACAGAACCGTCGCTAGGCTCCAAACACTTTAAGAAAGATAAGTTTATACTACTGGGTACTTTTTTGTTGACCTTATCCGACGGCCATGTCCTTGTTTAAATAGCTGTGGTTGTTGTCGAGGATGGCCGCAGACGTGGATCAGACAATCCCCGAGGATGAGCGCAAAATCTCGCCGCAGAAAGGGAACCAGAGTCCCACTACTGGGTACTGGATCTGCCGGGGGATCTGGATTCTGCTTCTAATCGGTGCTGTCCCTCTTCTCGCCTTCGGGATCAAGTATTACCAAGATGCCCAGCTCCACAAACGTCATGTGAGATCCACATCTGTAATACTAATGTTACAAACACCTCATAATTCATCAGTTTTCTTCACTTTAGAAAATAACTTATAATAAAATCAAATATGTATCCATATAATGCTTAAAAATGCCAATTAACTATTTATAATGTATTAATAGAAAGTTTGCATTGACCTTCTCGGACTTATTATTAGTGTAACGTTACTGTAGGTACATTTTATAGTAGTTAACTATTACAAAAAGCTTTGATCAGTCTTCAGAGTAATTAATTGTCAGACATCTGTCGCCACCAAACACCACATCAGCAGTTTTTCCACCTCATGGTGTTTTTTTTAAGGGGAGGTGAATCTGTGTCACAGCTGGTAAAACTCAACCTCATGTGTTATATTGCCTCTTGTTTGGCTACACAGGGACTCCAATTTGTTCTTATACTTCCGTCCCCCTCTCCCTGCATTGTACAAGCAGCATCTGTCTGGGAAACACATGCAAGGAATCTGTGGCCTCTGGGCTGATCTCTATCCAGACAGGACTGCTAAGGCAGAGTGAATGCTATAGGGACCCATTACTATAGAGACATTAATATATTAAAAGGAAAAGTGCCCCCTAAAGTATGAACATGCAGCTAAAACAGTGTTTTTTTTAATCTTCCCAAATATTTGTGTTTTGTTTGATGAGGCGGCTCACTGTCCTAGTTTTGATGCTTTATTTAAAATCCCTGAAGCATGTGAATTGACAATAAGGGTCAGACTGTAACTGTATGTGCCCCTCCAATAGGAGGAGAGTATTCGAACCCTGGGTGCAGAAGGGCTTTTTCTCTTCTCCTCTTTAGATACTGACCATGACCTTTATCTCAGCCCGGAGGAGTTTAAACCCATTGCAGAGAAACTCACAGGTACAGTGTCCCATTTATTGAATATCTTGCCTTCTCTCAGTAACAAAAACCTCCGCCTCACCTCACATTGACTCTCGTATCTACAATTTCCTCACAGGAATTACACCCCCGGTGGATTTTGAGGAGGATGTGGCCCATGACCCCAATGGAGAGACTTTGATGTTGGAGGCCCAAATGCAGCCTCTGTTGATGGACTCCATGACAAAAAGCAAGGATGGTTTCCTCGGGGTAAGACGAGACCTAACAAGAGGAAGTTTATTGTTTATTGTTTTACTGTTCTCTTTATCTCGACTACTGCATAGTAATCACAGTTGAGCCTACATCAACAGGTTTTAAGGATAGTCACACAATAACTGTAATTTTTATGAAAGTTGTCAATGCAGTTCTATCAAAATGTGAAAGCAACCAAGAATAGAATCATAACCAAAAAAAAGACATCTTAGCATTTATTTGTAGAAGCACGTGTTCAAGTTTTGAACAACATACCAATAATACATTGATTTAATCTGGTTTTCCACCTCCTGCTCTCTCAGGTGTCTCACAGCTCTCTGAGTGGGCTGCGCTCATGGAAGAGCCCAGCAGTCCCCACCTCCTCTTTCTCTGCCAGCCAGTTCAGGGCCTTCTTGCCCCCAAAGAACAAAGATGAAGTGGGAGACACATGGTGGGTGATTCCCAGCGAACTCAACATCTTCACTGGATACCTGCCCAACAATCGCTACCACCCTCCCTCACCAAAGGGCAAAGAGGTACCCTTAAAACTCATTAATATTTCATGTTTAAAGGCATGTGATAAATAGACTGTACACTGATATATGTTCCTATCCTGCTGCAGGTTCTCATCCACTCCTTGTTGAGTATGTTCCACCCGCGGCCCTTCATGAAATCCCGCTTTGCCCCTCAGGGCGCAGTCGCCTGCATTCGTGCCAGCAACGACTTTTATTACGACATTGTGTTCAGGTAAGGAGCCATTAGGGAAGCGACATAAAATACCATAACAGTGCTCAGCCCATTAACTACAGCATTATGTATACTTTATATTAGTGCTGCATAATATTCAGAACGTACTATACATTATAATATCCTCCCTGGCAGGCAGCCATTGGTTTCATCATCATGCGGAGCCTGAGACTGTTTTACTTTGTTGTCCATAGAGAGTTATAAACACGTGTTAATGCAGTTTCCAGTTCTTTACTACCTGTTTTGAAAAATATATATGTCGTTGGAGTGGAAACACAATTGTGAGATTTCAGTCAGCTCTTGGAAAGCAACTTTTTTAATGAAAGAAAGTGCCAGATCCATACTACTTTTAACATTATATAAACAAAAGGCTACAATACATTTTCCAGTAACTTCTTGACAGAACACATCTTGCGGTAAGTAATCAACTCCTTGTTCTGTTAACCTCTTCAGAATTCATGCAGAATTCCAGCTGAATGATGTTCCAGACTTTCCCTTCTGGTTCACCCCGGGGAAGTTCATTGGAAACATTGTGCTCTCTAAAGATGCATCTCATGTCCGCCACTTTCATCTCTACGTCCCCAATGACAGGTAAATCCTTTAAACACACTCAGTCACCTTTGTGCATGCAGTCCCCACTCAGTGTTTTCATGTGTGTCAGGTCTCTGAATGTGGACATGGAGTGGCTGTACGGGGCCAGTGAGAGCAGCAACATGGAGGTGGACATCGGATACCTGCCGCAGGTAGAGCTGCACGCATGCATTGACCCTTCATAAGATGTCTCTATTTCTTTACTAGTGTGGTTTTCCAGCTCTTCCATTCATTACATCTCCATATTGGGTGTCAGGATTTTTGTCTTTTTAAATGTGTCCTGTCACTGTTTTTGAGTGTCCTAATGTTTGGGTGCTCCTAAAATTAATTTAATTTCCTTTTTTTGTCGGTTATTAAACCTTTTAGAGAGCATTGGCCCTATTCCCTTTTTTAATTCAATAATTGCTTTATGTATTTAAAATATACTAAAGCTTTTTAGGCATTAATTATTTTTAAAAACCTTATTGAGCCATTTGTTAGCTTTCTGTATGGACTTCTGCCTAAAACCAATAACATTTCCCTAGTCACTATTTCACTAGTGTCTCCCAAAATAAAAATAAATCCTCAGAAAATGACACAGATTTCAGTATATCATGTTTTTTTTAAATCTGGAACCGCCTTGTATAAAAAGTTGTGAACGTGTCCACAGTTAGAGCTGCAGGCCACGGGCCCGTCCACTCCCTCCATCATCATGGATGAGGAGGGTAACATCATCGACAGCCAAGATGGCAACAGCGAGCCGATCCAGTTCATCTTTGAGGACATCCACTGGACCTCGGAGATCAGTGAGGAGGAAGCCACTCGACGGCTGGAGGTCACCCTCTACCCCTTCAAGAAGGTAACCATCTACGAATCATTTATTTCAACCACTGTTGTCTTAAATGTTGTTGTGGTTTCACAGCTTTTACATTGTCACCATTGTTCTTCCTCCCAGGTGTCCTACCTGCCCTTCTCAGAAGCCTTTGAGCGAGCGGCAGCAGAGAATAAACTGGTGCACTCCATTCTGCTTTGGGGAGCATTGGACGATCAGTCCTGCTGAGGTGAGATCATGAATGTGTTGAATACACAGCATGCTGATTGAGATTTGACTTAGTGTGTAAATTAAAGGCCTAATATGGACTACATCTAAACAATGACATCAAAACTGGTAAATATAAGAGATGCATTTTCCCACTCAGGAATTTCCACAGCATTGTAGCCTGGTGAGAAATATGTACTTAATATTGTCTTTTGTCAGTATAAAAATCTCCCTTTTACTTAGCAGCATTTCAAATAAATTCTATAAACATTTATTATGAGTGAAAAATAGTATTCAAATAAGTTCTTAATTATTTTGTTTTTGTGTAAGAAACAACTTGTGTCAATATGTAGCATAAATACTATACTTTATAACTTTTAAAAGTAGTCTTAACATATTATCCCTTTTAAGAATGACATGTTGAATTCATAAAGAATTCCTCTTGGTTAGTTGAAGACACCAAGTAGCCTGTGGTGGCTAATGTTAGCTAATGTTTTGGTAAAGGTTGCTGTATAACGAACATTTCTGACTTGCATTTTGGAACTCTTCTTCAATTTTGCTTGTGTTAAATAAATTTTGAGTTCACTTGAGATGTAAATGCTTTACTTTTTCAACAACTCTCCCATCTCTCCTTCTCACCTCTGCAGGTTCGGGGCGAACTCTCCGGGAGACCGTCCTGGAAAGTTCGCCCGTCATGGCCCTGCTCAACCAGAGCTTCATAAGCAGCTGGTCTCTGGTCAGAGAGCTGGAGAACATGCAGGTGGGGCAGTGCAACCTCAAGAAATCCAAACAGTGATTTTTTTTTAAATGTTACATACTCTGTTACCTTTTAACAATCTTCTTCTGATAAACAGACTGATGAGCAGAACCCTGTGCTGAGTGAAAAGGCCAAATTACACCTGGAGAATTACAACTTCCCCGTGGAGATGATGGTGGCACTGCCCAATGGAACTATTGTAAATATTTTTCTCCTTTTTCTTTTTATCAGCCTTCAATTTTATGAAACATCGAGGACTCAGTTTTAAACAAACGCGTGTAGAAGAACTTCCTTTGATATCGGTTTTAAGTCAGAACATTTACTTGCTTACAGTTTTTTTTGTGTATTTGTAGTCCCACTTTTATGAAATGTGATATTTATTGATGTTCTTAATCTTTAATAAAAAAAAGTTAATGTATTCTCTGTCTATGTTTTATATCAACATTTGCATGGAAAAGCTAACCTAAGGCTATCTTCTTCCTGTATGACTTTAGGTCCACCACATCAACGCCAACTTCTTCCTGGACCAGACGGCTATGAAACCAGAGGAGGAAGAAGCAACTTTCAGCTTCTCTGCTGCGTTCGAGGACCCCTCCACAGCCACTTATCTCAGCTTCCTGAAGGAGGGGTTGGAGAAAGCCAAGCAGTACCTGGCACAGTAATTAGAGTGTGCGATAGAGCCTGAGAAACTCAAAAAAGGAGGAAATAATCATAATTCCTCTGGGTAATGATGCGAGATAAGGAAAAGCCTCCAACAATTATGTAGAGAAGTTTTCTCATCCATGTGGCAGCTGATAAACGTTTTCACCCTCTGTCCTTTTTGTTGCTATTTATTTAGTCATCTCCTGTTTAGTTAGTTTTAAACACAATATTGACATTGTGACAAACAGTACAGGGACATATTCTCAAGCCTTATGTTACTCTCAGTATAGTATATTTGCATTCTAATGAGATACAGTAACAGACATCTGCTCTCTGCTTGTAGCTGCTGATTTAAGTTGATATAAATATAGACAGAGGCCCATCGTAGCTCAACGAAACACCCGGCTTTCATATCCCTGTGTCGCACGTGCAATATGAATCGACTGAGTGTGATTTCCTGCTGCTGAGCGAACCCAGAGACGGGGCCTGTGTTGCCTTCAGTTGTGTCTCAGCAGTTTGTGAAGATGTTGTCTGAAAGCCCTCTGTGGGCTGGGCGGCGCCTGATGTTTTTGCTGAGGCGGCTGCAGGGAACACCCTCTCTGACTCAGGGGACTGAAGCAGCAGGAAACATTGGGCTGTGGTATATACAATTGTTAATTTAGTTGTTTTTTTGTTTGAAACCAATTTTTGAATATTTTGCCAATTTTCTGTTCTTGTGGAATGTGTGACCACACCAAAGAAGATTGATTTTTTTATTATGTACAGCTGTTGAAGTTCATATTTATGTAACTCGATGGAACCAAAAGGACTTATGTTTGATTGTTTAAATGACAGACACGTGATACCTTGTTATGTTGTTTTCCTCTTTCATGATCTAGTAAAAGCAATGTATTTGCTCTTGTCTTAAGCGTGACAAGAGGAAATCATTGATGTTTAAGAGTAACAACATGACTATTGGGACCTACCATTAGGCTAATGGCTGTTGAAAGACTTAAGTCTGTTTTTACAATACGTATAATTCTTATATTTTTCAGTCATACAAAAAAAATGTTTTCCTCTTCAGGTCCTTGTCTTATTTTACTATACAATTAAAGAACACAGGGATCAAGAACACTAGTTTATATAGTTGCAGTGAAATTTGATAAATGTGGTAACATTAACCTGGAATGTGACTTTGTGAAAGTATTGCACTCTCAAGGTCATACAAGCTCCCCTCCACGTGAAACATCTGAATGATTGGAGTCTTTAAGGGGAAATCACTACCAGGGCCATTTTTTCAAAGCCTGACATAATAAAAACATTTTTGCTACAAACTGATTGTTGTGCTTATTGGCAACATCTGCAGTACCATGAACTGCACAGTTCAACAATACACCATACAAATGTTTATAGAGTTTACATGTTCAATTGTGCTGTTATGTTATTAACTAATCTACAATACCGTACAATGTAAGCAAAGTAGATTCAAGGAGCATTTTACGTAAACAGTTGAATTTAGACAAAATTGCATTAATTCAAAGCTTTTCCCGTCACACACAGAAAGCACAGTGGTGTATGAGTCAGCACTAGAAATGAAAATAGTTCAGAATAGTCCTCCATTGAATGTACAGATGTCCTTCAATCAAGAAGCTTTTCTCGAAGTGGAGCGCAAAGTGTTTGCTGAAGATTATTTCCAGTATTCATTTATGCTGTCTATGACACTGATAAAAACCCATAAAAAGGATTAGTGTCTGATGACGGGAGCCTTTATTTGTGAGATTTATGATCTGTCTGTGCAGTTTGGCCTTTTATAAGGAAATCTAATCTAAGTGTGTTTGTAAAACTTCCAGCATTAACTAAACACAGTTATATGGAAGCAGGGACATGCATTAGCTTAAAATACAGCTGAGATAAAATTATGGTATATCATAAAGTAAGTGATTCACATTAAGAGCAGAGTGCAGTCTCTGAGACTTGTAATCTATTCCATTCAAAAACAAGGACTCTGAGAATCCAGTTCAGCTCTACAGTTCACAGCTTTGCTGCCAAACCCTCAGGAATGAGTCCACCACGAAACCCCCACTCCATCGCACTGCTCAAGATTTGTTCAGTTCATTAAGTTTGCTAAAATCCACAGCCCTTATTCACAGGGATAAATCCAGCAGTTTGTGGTCGATTTTTTTACATGGATGCTACCATGAAATGGATGAGCGGCTGTATTAGTTATTTGCTCAGTGTTGAATGCTGATCAGCGGAGATGTGGCAAATCTAAGAGAAATGGCCTCTTCAGCTGAACGTCCACACCTCCAGCTCCATCACTCGGAAGTCGTCGGTTTCCGCGAGGCAGCAGTTGTTGAAAGTGTAGCAGGGACTGCTGCGACCCAGGTACAGATTCTCATCCACCCACAGACCAAAGTGACCACTGCAGGAAATAGATAGATAGACAGTAGTCAAAGATAATACATTACTCAAATGTCTATAGAGTTTTTGTTAATAGATTCCAGATAAAAGAGAGTGAACACATTACCTGCCTCCACCAATAGCAAAGGAGTCCAAGTCTCCTTTAATAAAGAAGGAGTTCTCTCCAGTCCATCTAAAACACTGCAGGGAAAAGGCAGAGTTAATCACCACAAAACTGTTTTAGTGCCACTTCTCAAGCATAAAGTCAGAAAAGAACACCCTTTTTAGCATTTTGACCTTACACAGAAATGCATAATTTGCTATATTTAGCTGATATTTTACAAATTGGCTGAACTAAAGACATAAACGTTGGTTGTTAGGGGGCTCACCTTGAAGCGAGGATGCAACATGAAAAGGAACGTTTCTCCTGTGCCGTAGAACGTCTCACTCGGCCTCAGAGGGTGAGAGAGGAAGGCCCCGAATATCTGATGAAGAAAAGTCCCCAAAGACAGCAACACACACACAATTACTAAAATTGAAGGACATTACAAAATCCTTAATTAATATAAGAGGTTATGTATAGTGTGTGTTACCTCATCGAGAGCATCCTTGATGACAATCAGCACAGGGGAGTCCAGTTTGCTGAGTTTCCTGTAGAGGGACTTGAGGCTGGCGCCATGACGGGACGTACTGTAAGCCAGGTGCCAGCTGTAGCCCACTGTCCTCGGAGGGAGCTCCTGACACAGCTGAGAGACATTCAAAGAGGGAGAAGGTTTTTAATCAACAAAGGAGGGGGAGGAAGGAGTTTTAACATGAACAGGCCCAGACACTGACGTCTAAATCTTTGCAGCAATCAGTTCTGAATTTAACTTTGTTGTAGGGCAAGTATTTACTAAAAGAAGACTTATCTATAGATCTCTGTAAACGTGAGAGTAAACTAGCTCTCACACAGATATGATTTGTTATATATTCACACCTCCTAACTCCCAGCTGTAGATAAGTGCTAACTGAATGGCTGACTGAACTAACTAAAACAAGCTTGCTGATCTATGTACAGTATGAAGTGAGGGGTACAACATGTCATAGGGACAGGCTTCACCCTTTATCTACAATAAAAACAGTGTAAAAAAACCCCACAGATTATTATTTGATTTAAATATGCCTAGAATACTAAAGAAATTGGAAATATTTAATTTGGAAATCATAAAACAACACAATATACTATCACCTCAGACAGATTTGGCATTTACTTTCATTTCTTAAACTCAAAATAAAATATATATACATTGTTATCTTTTTATATGGCCCCCTTAATGGTTACAGCTGGATTAAATTACAGGGACTTCCTGTTTACATAGTTGATTTATTTAGATTGCACTACAGACGTTTCCTAGCAACCAATTTACACATAACTGAAGTCTCAAAGTTCAATTGTAATCAGTCAACCCTTTTGAATGTGAAAAATATTTAGAAAATACATAAATGTTAAATGTTTTACTCCACAGGTTTTGATGGGGCAACGTGATTTAGAAAAGGACTTTATTGAAAAAGCTAGTAGTTAAATAGAAACAAACTGTGTGTGAAGAGTGTGAGTATACTATGTGTGTGTCGCCCACCTCTTTGACATGTGAAGCTTCTAAAATGTTGCTGCTCGCTACAATATCATTGAGTCCGTCGGGCTCCTTGTCCATGACCAGGGTTGGCTTTTCCCCGCTCTCCTCCATCAACACCATCTACACAAAAAAACTTAAATACATTAGAAAAAAGAAGAAGCCATTTTGTCCTAGAACATCAAGAGGCATTTGTTCTTCCTTTGAGCCTGGAGTGACCCACCCTAAGGCAAGTGTTTCCACAAACAAACACACCTGTCCATTTCCATAATTTGCACCAGTTAAGTAAAAGATCTCTCCTGTGAGACGGAAATGAGTCTGATTACCTCCCAGTCGTCCCCTGAGCTGCGGTGCCTCTGGAACACATCTTCCTCGTCCCCTTCCTCCTCTTCTTCCTCTCTGTCCTCAATGAGTACAAACTCCTCTTCGTCGCGGTCCGCCTCCCCCTCTTCATCCCCTCCCTCCAGTATGCACAGGTCTGGTCGAGAGTGAGTCAGGTATGCGTGCAGCTCGTCGGAGCTGCAGGGGGAAACAAAGCCGTCACTCAGACATGTTTAAAGACAAACAAACCTGACAGCTGCATCAACATGGACACAAGAGAGGAGGAGCTTTAAATGTACTTTTATGAATGTATTCACAGATGAGTAATTGACTTTCCACTGAGGTAGAGTTTTGATTGTGTTGTACTCATCAGCTTAAGTAAATACAGTACTGTATATAGCAATACAAGATAATAAAAATGCTCCATTACAGAAGTCCTGCATTTAGTAAAGTATAGTATTATTGACAATAACATTTACCAATATTATTGATGAACCAACATAAATGCAGTCATTTAAAGGTAGGGTAGGTAAGTTTGAGAAACCAGCTTGAGATCGCTAGAATTTGAAAATACACAACCGGAGAAAATCTGCCACTTCCTTACAGAGCCCCTCCTCCAACACACACGTACGCGCACATGACCAATGAGGGCACGAGATAAGTTTGTGCCCAGATGGAAGGCTGACAGGCAGGTAGGCCATCCAGTTATTTTAGCCGGGCCGGCTAAAATGATTGGTCGTACTTTTTACAGTACTACGGCTTCCACAGATGACATTTTTTTATGGATTTTTTGTCAAAGCACTTAAGATATTCATTGCTATCGGGATGTTAAGAGCATTCCATGGAATATAACAAAAAGTGTATCTCGAGCCGGTTTCTCAAACTTACCTACCCTACCTTTAATGTTGTAGCTGGTCAAGGTGGAGCTTATTTTAATAGCTTAATACTGGTGGGGCGTTTAATTTATCGAAATGCATACTTTTTAGTAAATTGATGACATTGTGGAATAATTCCCAATATAAAAACTTCTCACTGTACATTTTTATCTAATTTAATATGTCATTCTTGCACACTAAATGTAAATCATATCCCACTTTTATATTGTGTTGGCTGTGATTTAGCCGTTCAATGGTGTTTCATTTGTCAGATAGTTTAATATTATTTCTTCACGGTCAACTTTTATATTTTCACTCTTTTATAACTATTTTATCTTCTATTTTGAGATGTTTTGTACAATTATTTATTTCCCACTCTTTTTTATTTCTAATTATGTGCAATACTTGTTTTACATGCTGCTGCAATGAAAACTTTCCCAATTTGGGATTGCTAAAGAATATCTAATTTTAAAAGTCTGACTGAATCCATCAAAAAATGTGTGGAATAGTATATTGTACTAAAAAATATAAATATGAAATAATCAAGTATTAAGTTTGAATATATAAAGAATACTCAAGTAAAGTACTGTGAGTTCTACTGTGTCTCTCAACTGTAATTCTTAATCTATAGAGTTCCCCTTTTAATCTGTTGTCCATCCACATTTCCCTGCCGTTAGTTACTGTACCTCTCTTGTGAAAGTGCAAGCCAAGCATCCCTTTTTTTAGTCGAGCCCAGCTGAAGGGCTCCGGCGCCCTTCTTCTTTCCTGCAGACGGCTGAACCCGCAGCCGCACGAACATCAGGCTCCCAGGACTTCCTGCTGAGGACCGCTGAGGCACTGGAAGTTAACAGAGAACAACGGTGCAGAAAATGAAAACGAGAAAAAAACAAAAAACATGTTTTAGACCAGGGGTATCCAAACAACGGCCCGGGGGCCAAATGCAGCCCGCGTTTTGAATCGGCCCTCAGCAAATTCAAAAAGTATAATGGAGTATGGCCCAAAAATGAAACTTGTGCTTGTCTTGTATTGTACTTATTAAATATAGATGAAAACAGATATTACATAGTGTTCATGTGTTAAGAAGCCCAATCTTCAAACAAATTCAGTCAATTAAAGTTGAAAACATTT